TCCGTTACTCCCCAACACTGTGAATCAATGTTATGTATTTCATCCATTTCAAGTGCTTCATCTCTTTGCTGTGACTGTCGCCATAATTTGCAGACGATAATTGTTGTAGCCGCTGCGATGCTTTCAACCAAAACAGGCACAGCTTGATGACATCATCAACATGCGCTATCGCGATAGAGCGGTATAGTCAAAATCTCCATCGTTGGCCAAATTTATATCGTTTCTATCGCCCAGCCCTGCTCCATATCCAACAACACTGTAGAACATTTGTATTGTCACATACACACCAGTCATGCTTAGAGAGGCTCAGCACAGCTTTACAGGTGCCAAACGCCACCATTATTAGTATTAGAACACCAGTATCTGTTTTTTCCTGTTACTACTCAATTTAACAAAAAAGATGTATTAAATACAAGCAGGCGGTACTTTCATCATTTCATAACTCGCCTACTTTTTATTTAACCAGTTATCTAATGAGTGCCCTAATGTCTCGTGTTTAGTATTTATGTCACAGTGGCTGCTGTGACCTCATTAACAGAAGGTTACAGTGCAGCGTTCATGCTGGCTTTTGACTGCAAAACCAAAGCAGCACTTTAAACAGCAGCACCACAGAGAACAAGTGAGTGACACACGACTACTCGAGAAGCTAAACGGGCGCACACCCACGAGAGTGCACAACGCAAAACAGAGTGAGCGCACTGAGCTTTACCTCTTGGCACTGGTGGAGAGCTTGGCAGCGGTCTTACTGGAGATTTTGGCCTCCTTCTTTTTGGGCTGGGCCTGGTCCCGTTGCTCGGGGCCCGGCTGCTCCGGAGGAGCCGCCTCCCTCTGCTCGGCGTCCGAACTCCCCCCACTGGTGTTGGGGCTGTCGTCCGGCCTCGGCTGCACCTCACTGGACATGGTGACGCTGTGGGATGGTTGCACATGCACACAGGCTTTAACGGCACGTAACGAGCACACCTGAAGGTTTACTCAACCTTCACTGCAGGTCGGTCATCTGAGAAACACAGTTTTAAATACAGCTTGGTCACACACTGCTGTGGGATCCCACAGCAGTGTGTGACCAAGCTGGTGATGAGGAGGCGCCAGGCTGTGGGGAGAGATCCACATGCTGCTGAGGCCCCGTCTGATTTCTTCAGACGTCAATTATCCAACCTAATAAACAACAGTGAACACGAGTCAATAGCACAATAAGCTGTTTGGCACCGACAGAGAAGATTTGGCAG